ATTTACTGGAGTACAACTAAACCTAAAGGTTACTTTTTATGGTAAGTTTTCTATTAGGTACACATCAAAGGTGGAAGCAGTTCAATACAATTGCTTCCATTATAACAAGATACATTATGAGTGTTTTTATCAAAGTTTCTGGTTCATGTGTAAAGCACATTTTGCGGTTTTATAGGAAAAGAAAAATCAGACTTTTTTTCTATGCATGTGTCTTCACATCATTTCATAAAAGAAAAACACATAACAACTGAGCGCATTATAGCAATGATTCTTATTGTTGGGTTCAGGACCACTCTGTGGGTCATAAACACTGAGTGTGAGGGTCCTGAGATGATTCCCTGACATAAGAATAATAAAAAATTACTATTAATGGCATTTTAGGCTATAGTATTAACTCCACATTCAAACAGTTGTCAAAAATGGACAAAAGTACAATTATGGTTGTAGAATTTATTTACACTAAATATGTTCTTTTTTTGAATTGGCTTTAACTATCAGAAGTCAAGGTTGCCAGACATTTTCTTTTATTTTTAGTTTCTGTGTTAAACACTGCAATATTTTGGGATCAGTGCTTTAACGATGATATTAAATATCAATAAGAATCTGGCAGCAAACCTTCGTCCCTTTCAGTTGTCCAAATCCTGTAGGATTTGTGGCTCAACACCACGCCACATTAAAAAAAAACAAAAAAACGTAATTTTGTTTCTTCCACCTTTGATCTGCACTCATACTGTGAGCAATGAAACAAAGCAGAGGATTTTCATTTACAAATGTTTTAATAACTAGATAGTAGGAAAGAAAGTTTCTTGAGTTTAATTGATTGTACATCCTTATGTCCGTCAATCTTTTTTTTTTTTCGTATTGCCACAGTGAAGAAAATAAAGTGTTACCATTCAATGTCCTTTTTTGTGACTTTTCTGTCTGGTTGAAATGGAAGCATGCTGATTGAGAGTCTGCTTCCTCTTGTTTGTAAGTGCATGAAGACGCTAGCTGTTTGTTTTTCAATGTAATATGACAATGTTATTAAGGCAGTTTGATGTCCAAATTTTGGACATTTTTGTAAAAAAAAAAAAACAAACAAACTGAAGCTCCATTTAAAACCAAATATTTATAATTTACTTTATATCATATAGAGAACTAAATGTTGTTATGAGCAACATTAAAT